ATTTAAATATGCAATTAAATGACCTCAGTGTCTGTAGGCATAGCAGTACAAATTTTAACATTCTTAGGCCTGAAATGTAAGTCACTCACTACTGTTGATGGTATTTGTTTTCTAACAAATAAAATCTTTTTATTCTCCGAAGGCTTCCTTGAACAAGGCTTGCTAGTTCAGGATGAGAAGAAATTACGAGAACATTATACCAAAACTGCGCAGTTCAAACTGGACGTGCTGTCTCTTGTGCCAACAGACCTGGCATATTTCAAGCTTGGTTTGAACTACCCCGAGCTCCGATTTAACCGCCTGCTGAGGATCTCTCGGCTCTTTGAGTTTTTTGACCGTACCGAGACCAGGACAAATTATCCAAACATGTTCCGTATTGGCAATCTGGTGTTGTACATTCTTATCATCATCCACTGGAACGCGTGCATATACTTTGCGATATCGAAGGTGATCGGGTTTGGAACCGACACCTGGGTGTATCCCAACGTGTCCGTTCCGGAGTACGCGCGCCTGTCCAGGAAGTACATTTACAGTCTGTACTGGTCGACGCTCACGCTGACGACCATCGGAGAAACGCCGCCCCCGGTGAAGGACGAGGAGTATCTCTTCGTGGTCATCGACTTCCTGGTGGGCGTGCTCATCTTTGCCACCATTGTCGGTAACGTCGGCTCCATGATTTCCAACATGAATGCTTCCAGGGCAGAGTTCCAGGCCAAAGTGGATTCCATTAAACAGTACATGCAATTCCGAAAGGTGACTAAGGACTTGGAAGCCAGGGTTATTAAGTGGTTTGATTACCTCTGGACAAACAAGAAAACAGTAGATGAGAAGGAAGTTCTCAAAAACCTGCCTGACAAGCTGAAGGCTGAAATTGCCATCAATGTCCATTTGGACACACTGAAGAAAGTACGTATATTCCAGGATTGTGAAGCTGGACTTCTCATTGAGCTGGTGCTGAAGCTGAAACCTACAGTCTTCAGTCCTGGTGACTACATTTGCAAAAAAGGAGATATCGGAAGAGAAATGTACATTATTAAAGAGGGAAAACTGGCTGTGGTGGCGGATGATGGCGTAACCCAATTTGTAGTCCTAAGCGATGGCAGCTACTTTGGTGAAATTAGCATCCTAAACATCAAAGGCAGCAAATCTGGCAACAGGAGGACAGCCAACATTAGGAGTATTGGTTATTCTGATTTGTTCTGCTTGTCTAAGGATGATTTAATGGAAGCCCTCACAGAATATCCAGAAGCCAAAAAGGCTCTGGAAGAGAAAGGACGTCAAATTCTGATGAAAGACAATTTAATAGATGAGGAGGCAGCAAAAGCAGGAGCTGACCCAAAGGACTTGGAAGAAAAAATAGGACGACTTGAAGTAGCTCTGGATACACTGCAGACTAGGTTTGCGAGGCTCATGGCAGAATACACTGCATCTCAACAAAAGGTGAAACAGAGACTTGCCAGAGTAGAAACCCGAGTGAAAAAATACGGTAGTGGCAGCTTATCAGTTGCAGAAGCAGAGGCTGAAAAACCTGAGGAGAAAAAGTAGTAATGGATTATTTATATTTCCTCAATTATTGGAGAAAGTTGAAGCACTGAAAGCCATAAATGTATGTAAATATGTGTGTGCATACATAGACATAATTATTTTTATATGAACTCAAGAGAATGGTTTTTAGCATTTTTAACTGAAGCAGTATTTTCTTGTAAATAGAACATTGTCACCTTCTTCTTGGGGGGAGATTTGGTCCAGCACTTGGTACTTTTTTGTACTGAAAGTGGGCTTCTTACAAGTCATGCTCAGAATGTCTGTTGTGTTTGGTACCTGTAGGTCTTGACACACTGTCTCTTCCTGTGCATTGTGCGTTAAGAAGGCATTGTAATTGAAGTAGAAGAGATTAAATTTTTCCTTTTTAGGAGCTTAAAAATTGTTTATAGGGTACCCTGCTCTAACTTGCTACTTTAGTAGCTGATTAAGTGCATGGATGGATGTCTGGGTTTCTCAAAATTTTTATTCTTTCACAGTCTGTGCAAACAGTTGGATGACAGCTAAGCAGTATCAGGTACCTGGCCATTGCAGTGCGCTCTGCACGTGTCTGGAACAGCCGTGCATTCAGATGCTTTAGTCTGATTCTCTCTGATGAGCTGGGCTCTGCACAAAGGACCATGCTGACAGAGTAGCAGTGCTCATTCATGTCCCTTCTGGCAGGGTCTGTGACAGCCTTTGCTGCTCTGCAGCTGCTTCAGCAGGGGAGGGAAGGGAAAATCTGTTCTGGGTTTTTTTAGCCCAGTTCCATCCACACTGGTGAAATCCTCACTTGGAAAGGAGTCCCCTAAAGCTCACTGGTGGAAGAGTAATACGGCTTCACTGAACCTGGGAAGAGAAAAGAGGGCCCTGGTGTGTGCAACTCCCATATGTAGGGTGCTGAGTGAACTCCCTGGCAAGTGGGCAGTCCCAAGGGAGGCTACTGAGAAATCCCATGGGCTGGCAGGGCAGGCTGTCACTGCCTGCCTGGCAGCTTGCTCCCATAACAGGGTCTCTGCAAAGCAGGGAGAACAAGCCCTGTGTTGCAAAGTCATTCCAGTCACTAGGCCTATGTTTTCTTCCTTTTTATTTCTTCTAAGGAGGTCTACTCCATCTCCCTTTGCTGTTTACTGCCATCTTTTCTCCAAAGTAGTTGTCACACTGCCTTGTTTCCATTAGTTAGGGAGAATATAGAATATAATAGCTTTCATTTTTTTGCTGTACAGTATTTTGCTGTCATGCAGCTTTCCTTATGTTACTTGCAGGTATCTCACTGGCTTTTGAAAAGTATGGAGTAGCAGAGGCTGTTCAGCATGTATGGCATTAGATCCTTCAGTGGCATTAGGTATTACTATGGGCAGTGCTCTGACTTTAGTTGTCCTCAGGCCTGAGTTATGACAGCAACTGTGATCAATGGCCTGTTGGAAAATTGGTGAGGAGTCCACTGGAGAAGAGGGTGGTTTAACTGGGTGGCAGTGGAATGAAAAGAGACAGTTTTGCCAAACTGAGTACAACTGCTCAGAGTAAGTCCTCATCTCCAGGCAAGCAACTGTTCCCTTCTATTGACACTTCTGAGCCTGGTGAGGGAGACAAATCTGTCAGTGATTAAGGAATGGAGCTTTGCCAGCAACACTGGCAAAGGGACAACTGGATAGTAATGTTCACACACGGCCCTTGCCTAAACTCCTGTTAGTGTCAGCCTAGAAGCCAACTGTACTTACAGATCTTCCCTAGACTGGGCTTAACCTCTATTATCAAAATATCCACTGATTGATTGTAATAAGTGGTTTGAAAAGTAGTCAAGATCTGTTTCTGGCCAGTGACACTCAGAAGTATTGTTCCATCAGCTGAATCTTGTCCTTATTTTCTTTAAGGGCTTGAGAGAATTGGGGGAGCTCCAAGAGGCTGGTTTGGCAGGGGTGTAGTGCCCTTAGTCCCACCCAGAGGCAGGCAGTGCTGAGGTGGAGCTGGGCTCACTGCAGGGTACACCTGTGAGCACAGACTGTGCCACAGGCTGCTCAACTTGCAAATTCCACCTTCCACATTGTGACAGAGCCAGGTACCACACTCACCTTGGCTGACATTCACTGGTGTGTGACTCAAACCCACTGTACCTGGTAGGGGTTTCAGGCATATTGACATGTTCTCCATCAGTCATCATTCTCTGTAAATACCTATCTACCCAACATAGCACAGCTGTTCCAGCCCAGTAGGTATATATGAGTGAAACTGTTTAAAGAACTCTTCGTACCAAATTTATGTATGTTTAAAAACCCTAAAAACCACAGGACTGCATCTTTACCTGATGGATCAGAACAGCCTAATCTATCAGTTAAATACATGTTTGCTCTTCCCTTTCCGTGCCTCTTGATCTGGTTTTCATATGCTAGAAAAAGAGCATTTTGATGCTACTGGCTTCAGTCTCTTTGAAATATACAGCTTCTGGCATGATGAAATCACATCCTTTGGCGTCTTTCATCTCTGTAAGATGTTTTTTCCTCTTCTTTAATGTGGCTACAGCATGTACATTAAAATATTTTGAGTAATGTTCAAGCAACTCTGTGTTTTCTCTTACCCATATCCCTCTAGATTTTAGTGTTTCAGACAGACTTTGATCGCATCACCATTACATGGTCCAGAAAACTGTTATCTGGAACAGAGATCTGAAGTGACAGAAAACTATGTGGGGATGGTGGTCTCCCCTCACCACAGGGCAGCTGGTACACAGCTTTGGTCCTGGGCCCAGTTTTGATATCATCCCTGCATTTGCAGCTACCACACAGGCACAGGAACCTGACCATTATGCCACTGCCCAAGGGGTTCCAGGTCCCATGGGGCACAGAGCCTGCCAGGCTGCTGCCACTTGTCTTCCCTTCCCAGCTCCAGGCAGGGTGGCACAGCAGGGACAGTGGCTTGTCTGGCAGAAATAAGTGTGTGCAGCTTTCTGCTACTTGCACACAGGTCACCTACCAAAAATTGCCTAGCACAGACTGGGCTGGGCTAGTTCCTCAAACCTGCCACAAGAGAAAGCAAGGCACAGGGCAGTGCTTACAGAGCATTTGAACATAGGCCCTGAATCTAGAAATAGGTTTAATGGCCACAACGCTCACTTCACGTGGGCCTAAGCAGGTAGCCATGGGCTGGCACTGCTGCTCCAAATAGCCTGTGCTGAGGGAGACACCAGATGGGTAAAGTCTGAGAGGTTTGAACATTTGCTCGACATACAAAAGGAGAGGAGAGGTGGTGGAGTGACACACCGTGCTCCAGCTGCTGCTTGGAGTGAGCTTTTCCAGGGAAAGGGCCTCAAGCTGTGGACCCTCTACCCTGACAGCAAACAATTTCAGCCTTGCTCCTCTCTGAAGTTCTCTCAGTGCTCTCCCCATCCTTTTACCCTCATCCCCTATTATTTTACTTTACAGTTTTTACAGCAGAAAACTGCCCTGGCAAATTCAATGAACTGGACTTCAGAAGCAGCAGTAACAGCAAAACAGCTCATGTATTTGTACAGCCAAGAGTTGGGGTTTTCTTTACAGTACAGCTTTTTCTTCAGAACAGCCCAGGGAAAGTACAGTCGTGCTTTTAAAACCCTTTTCTCCAAGGCATCGGCTTTAGAGTTTCATTCCTGCCAAATATTTATTAATGCGCAATATGAGGCCTCTACTTTACATTAGAAACCAAACTGCTCATTGTCCTCGCTCTCACAAAAGTGTTAGTGCTTTCTCTGAGCTGGTCCACGTGTTGGTGGCTTTGGAAGACACACTTGTGTCTGTATCACTGCTGGCACCAAGGATGACACATTCACAGGCCAAACCCAGGCCAGGCTGTCCAGTGACGTGACACAGGCGGACTAAAGGAGAGCTACTCTTCACCCTCAAGATTTGCAAGATGACAGCATTTGCACTTGGCTTCAAGGTTCCCCAGCTCTTCTATTAATGCTTCCAACCTGGAACAAACAGAATGAATCAAACCCTTGTCTACATAATTCAGCATTTGCAAAAACATCTCATGTATCCCTGAGAGCAAAACGAATTATGCACTAAATGGATCTGGCAACTGTACAGACAGTTAAAGCACAAGATTTCAGTTGTGGCAGCTTTCCTGAGGGAAGCCATCACTCTGGGACTCCCCTCTCCTCCCCAATCCCATTCATAGCCCAGAGCATGAGAAGGGTTCCTGAGAGGGGAAAACCACACAAGCTCTGAGGAACAAGCTCTAGGGCTGAAGATGGTCAGACCTTTTGTTTCTGAAATTCAGATTTTGCAATAGTTTCCAGCTCACAAGGGCTGAGGCCTGCTGCTGCCAGCTGCTCTTGCAGCTTCACTGCAGCAAATACAGTTCTGCTCTTCTGTGTTGGCAGTCCTCCCCCTTCCACGCCCCAGGAGCAAAGGCTTGCACTCTTTAAGCAGTTTTTTAGGGATAAACACAAACATTAGCTTTACTCCAGAAGCAGGAGCAGTTCTCACAGATTTCCTTCATCAGAAGCTGGGAGATCACCTGGGCTCTTGCAAGAAGAGTGCAGGATGCAGTGCCAATGGCTCAGCTTCCATGGGCTGTCTTCCCAAGAGGCTGAGGACACTGGCCAGCTCTAACAGAGACCTCTCTTATTTGTACAGGTAAATCAGGGGTAGAGTACTAAAACCAGAAGTGCAGAAACATGGAAGGAATTTACTAATGGATGCTATTCCATTTTTCTTTCCTTAGCATTTGTGGTGCCTGGTACCAGCCCTTCTGTAAGAGGGCAACTGAAGAACACTTTCACCACAGGGACAGCCTGGCTGTAATTCTAGAGCGATGGGCAGCCTGATGAAAATAGCTATTAATTTCCTAGCTTTTTTTTGTTTTAATATGTAATTTCTTTAGCTTTCTGACAAGAAAAACCCCTACACTGTTCTATTCTTATAGCCAACAGTAACATTCCCTCATTGCCCTGGAAGGGGAACTACCCCAAAGCAGTCACACCCAAGCAGCCCCTTCAGGTGAGTAGCGTGGCAAGAACCCAGGGGCACTACCTGCCTTTCCAGAAAAGGAGACAGAGAAGCACAAGACCATTTTTTTTTTTTTTTTTTTTTGTGTAGCCTGCTGCCAGGTCTGATGAATCAAACCAACTGTGCTGTAAAGATCTACGCTTTTTAGGAGAACCAATTGCCAGTTCCTCATCAAAGTACAAATACTTTACTTGCAGAATAGTGCAGATAATTAACCCAGCTTCCTGCAGTGGCATTCCCACTGTTTTCAGATTACTTGTAGATTTGGGCTGTTTTAAGCAAGTCCTTAGGCTGCTTGTTCATAGGTCCAGTGCTTGGCACAGGAAACCCTCTCTTACAGCAGCAGCTTTGGGTACTATCAGTGAAGGAAATGATCCAGAGGTGGGAATTTTAAGTTCTGACTACTGAAAACCCTATGCCTCATCTCTTAGCAATAAAAGCTAGCATCTTAGCATCTCTGACCACACTTGCATCAAGGTTAGGAAAAAAGCTTACGTCTAGCAGCACAAAGCTGCAGAGCTTTTCTAAAAAAGCACCTCATGCCTTTCCAAACACATTGGTTGCTCCACAGCTCATTTAGCCTGTCAGCCACAGCCAGGCTTCTTGGTGCATGGTTCAGCCTGAGCATTGACAGCACAGGGAAGGCTCATGGCTCAAGGCAGACTGACAAAAGAGCTGTCCCAAGCAGAAACACTTTCAATTCAGGGCTTCAAGGCTGTCAGTTTCATTGCCATAATGTGACTGCACCAGCTGTGAGCACTGGCAGCCCAAGAAGGGTAAGTGGTGAGGAAGAAGAGGAGCAAGAAAAGAGCCACGCAGCACCTCCAGGCAGCTAGTGGCACTTCAAAACTGCAGCCACCCCGGAGCTGGGGTGACAAATGTGCTGGGCAAGGGAGACACCCCAAGCTGCTCAGCTTCCTGCCACCAGGGAAGGGAGAATGGTACAGAAGGGATGCTGCAATCTGGAGCCAGAGAGAGAAAGCACACAGGGGAGCCCCTGCAGAGTTTTCTAAACTGATTTACACTTTGGTGGCTAGAAGGGGCCCAAGCCAGACAAATGGGCAACTGGAATGACTCCAGAAGGGCATGTTCCCCCTCCCCAGCCACTGCCAGTGCTGAGGGCAAACCTGTTGTGCAGCATAGCAGAGCTGCCGGCTCCATATAGGGTTCAGTCCTACACAGCTTCACTCTGACTTGGGCAGGGCAAAGGGAAAATTTCAGAGCAAACTCAGGAGGTGCTGAGACCAACTGATGCTGCGATCAGCCACTAGGAGACCCCAGAGGCTGCCATCATGCTCAGGAACCAAGAATCCCACAAGAAAGGTTAAAAACCAGCAGAGTATGGCTGCTGGAAGCCCCCATCTTGCAGACACTGGGAAGAAACTGCTGGAAGAGTCTGTTTTTACCACCCCCAGCCCTGCAGCAGTGAGGCTTAGAGGCAGCAGGCAAATCATTGCCACCAACTGCCCCAAGTGTCACTGCTGGGCTGCAACAGGACATGGTGTCCAAAAGCATTGGATCCAGTCCAGCCCTTGTTCTGGAGGAGAAGCCAAGAACACAAAAGAGAAAGGGACTAATCCATCCTCTGAAGGTGGCAACACAGGGCAGGGGTGGTCCCAGAGAGTCCCAAACCCAGGAAATCTTTCCTAAGGCTTAAACACTGAGAAATCATCTCCTCCAAAATCAAAGCTAGCACGCAAACTGTTTGGGATGACAAAACTTCTCCAAACTGCTGCAGGTCTGGAGCAGGATTATTTCTGAAAGGCCTGAGGATGTTGTCTGGAACAACTCCTGGCACAGAAGCAATGCTCTCACCCAGGCTGGCTGCTGGCAGAAAGCAGAGGCTGAGGTCCAGCCCCTACACCAAATGAGCCAGACAAGAATTTTGCTAGAAAGGATATACTCTTGGGGATTTTAGTTTGGGAATGAGACACTCTCCAGAGAGATTCAAGGTGTAAAAAAAACCAGTGCAAGAGCAACCCTTATCAGATGCTCACAAAGAGGTCTGTGTTGTGCTTTTAAAGGGAAGTACCCATACTGGAGAAACCAAAATGTCATTTGTTTTATTTCAGGTGGCTTGCTACAAAATTCATAGTATTCTTCATGCATAGATGACAAAAATTAAAAATCTGTGCATGGCACAGGGAGATTTTTCTTTTGAAAACACCCTTTCATGTAGAAAACATTCTCCTGCCAAGTTTCCAATTTTTAATTAACATCAGTTATATTAGGAAACAAAACCCCTTCCATAGTAACATATTGGCTTACCTGATCTTTATCCCTTGCTGCTCAAACACAGAGTGCTTGCAAAGGGAAACATTAAATCAAAGGCAGCAACACATGATGTATGGCAGCTCAGCCTGGGACGGGGAAGTTCAACCAGATGCCATTTCATGGCCACTTGCTCCTGAGCACTGTTACTCCCTCTCTGTCCTATACAGGTCTGGAAGCAGAAGGTTGCAGTGGGAGTTTCAAAGGATTTTCTCTGTACATGGTCCCAGTGGCACAGCAGATACACCAGAGCCTTTGGTGTTATTAAGAAAGGCTTCATGTTAGATTTGCATGTAGCAGCTGAGCCACAAATCTCTGCAGTTTTTATCCTCACTTGACATTGGTCAGTCCAAGCTGTGAGCCAAGGCTGTAGGAGCAGCAGGATCCCTGCATGTGCAGTTGTTTGCAGTTGAGCTGTGCTGTCTGTCCTTTGAAGGGCACAAGTCTAACTCCAGCCATTGGCTGTCTGACTTTCACAGTCAGCTCTGGTCTCAATTTTTAAGTCTCAAAACTATGCACAAACCTAACCAGCAAAATAATGTAGGAGTTCCTAATGCAACCTTATTGTCCTAAAATAGAATAATGATTCCCACCCTTCACTTGCATCTCCAATGCCTTTGTCTCTTAGACACTTCTCCACACAGAAATCCCAAAGGATCTATATTGAGCAAGACATCTATGAACACAAGCACACTAGGCAAACTTCAGCTATTTATCAGAATCACTCTCTTGATGTATCCTACAAATACAGCAGAACAGAACAAAACTATACTTGTATATCTGCAATTAAAACCACCTTCCCACACACTTTTGAATTGGGTTGATGAAGAAGGAACAATAAAAACCAACAGCTGAAGACATCTTCAGATGGAGCACTAGAGAAAAATACTGACATTTCACGGGTTTTCCAAATGAATTCATCTGGGTAAAAAATTACCTAACTCTTATTTCCAAAGCAGCATCCCTTCCATGATTCAGTATAAATCTGAATTTTTAAAAATTAATTTTACTAAGTCCCCAATGGTCTTACAAATTTTATGACAAACTTTCGACTATGAACAAGAACTGTAAGTAACTTATCACAAACCTTTGTGACTCAAACTAAGCATAATAAACTCAGCTCTTGTTACGAAAGGCTTGACTTTGAATAGCTTAACTTGGAAGAAATTCCTGCTCCATCTTGCATACTGAAATGATGGAGTTTTTCTGCATAATAAATAAAGCACAGCTCAAACATTCCACCCAATTCATTTTTCATCATAAAACCTCTTGAGGCAACCAGGAAATTCTTAATCCTCATGTGAGAATAAAAATTTACCTGGAGGTAACTGGCTATAACAGTGTGATGGAAACACCTTAAAGTTGATGATTTAGGGATTGTCCTCCTCCAGAACATCAGCAGCATGGAAACCTGTGTCCAACTCCCTGCTTCACAGAGCAGAAGCCCAAATAGGCACCTGGGAGCTCACACTGCAGGTCCCTGGAGGCTAAGCCCGCTAGGTCCTTCACACCTGTGTGGTGTCAGATGGGAAAGGAAGCTCCTGCTTCAGCAGTGAAGCCACTGCTGGATGAGAGGCATGGACTGACTACTGTAACACAGAGTCCCTTGGAGCCCTGGGCCCATTTCAGCATGAGCTTTCCTCAGAACACAGGGTTGGAGGGGTCCCCTTGGCTGCCACCATCCTGTCTCTTCCTGCCAAATGGAAGACAAGCCCAGAGAGAAGTTCACAAAACACTACTCCTTAGTTACCTGAACTCTGCTCGCTGCTGACAGCTGTTGCTGAAATCTTTTTAGCAAGAAGCAAAACTTTGATCTTTTAAAAGGTGATGCTCTGTTTATACAGCTTTATGTGCCAATATACCTCCAGAGCTAAACAAAACCATTTCTTCACTCATTAAGTCTGAAACAATGCCACATTAAGATGGTTCTTTTCAGGGCATTACTTCTCTTGCACTACTATCATTTTTGAAGCATGTGATGGTAGAATACACAGAAGCCTGATGGCCCCTTTGCACTGAGGTTGGAAACATTCAGGCAGTCTCTGTTAGGTGCAGAAGGAGATACTTGAAGAGGTATTTTTCATTTGTCAAATGAGGCAGTGCTGAGACGTCCGAAATATTTTCCTGTCAACATATTGAAGACACCCTGTGGAGAGAACATCACCACACTGGCATCAAACTACTGCCTTGGAAAAGGAATCTTCTGTCTAACTGAGGAGAGGTATTTTCATGACATGTAAGTACACTTAAGTCTCCAAGTTTTGAAGACCTAAACTTTGCTAGACACTGTGAAAGACATTCCAGGTGTGCCAGGAACCCAGAAAAAACCCCCAAACCAAACCAAACTTAAAATGACATTTTCCCCTTCAGAAAGAACAGTGGCTGAAACTTCTGTAGGACAGGAATGCAGCCTGCAGCTATAAGACTTCAAGATTTATTTATATTAAACCTTATCAACTGGTGCTGCTGAACAACTAGTGCACTTACACCAGTCCTAAGGAGATAAGGTCTCAATACAGTGGTATCTGGGGGGAGGGAGTGTGTATTTACATGAGAAATCTGTCAAATATTAAGTACTTATATCTTACCTGAAAATGATTCCTTGAAAAACAACTTATGCTTTTGAAGGCCAATGCAATTATGTGTTATTTTAATCTTAATGCTAAAGGGAAACAGAAAGAGCATATTTACAATGTCAACAGTTAAGAGAACTTTGTATTGCTATCCAGTTATGCTGTCTGCACAGCTTTTAGACCTATATAAAAAAACCCAAGATGAATCACATACACCTGGTCAGCTGGGTACAACCACAAACCACAGCTAAATTAGTGTAAGAAGAATTACAGGGATAGAACTTAACACATTAGACTGTGAACACAGTACATACCACACAGCAGTATCATGATCTGTTCGTGCTTGCAGTGAATAACCCTAAGGCACTCTGCAAATGTTCTTACCACCTACAGGAAGAGTTGCTCCAAACCTGAAGGGCTCAGCAGGCACTGGTGTCAACCACTCTACACTGAGATGGTAGGATATCTTGTTTTCCTCCTCTGGGACATACAACAAGGTGGATATACAAGAGGGCAGGACCTAAGGGCCTCTGAGATCAAAGGCCAGAAGACAGACAGCACCTTTCCCTCCCCAGCAAGTTTCAGTCCCCTGTGTCCAGGCCATCTGGCACCGGCTTGAACTTGAGAGGGGAACATCACAACAGTTCACTTGTAGAGAGCTCTCCGTACCTGCAACCCTCAAATTATTCAGTACTACAACAATGTCTAATCAAACCATTTAATATCTAATTTATCAAAGTAAGAAAGTAAATTGTTTTCTTTTTCACTGAACCATGGTGAAAAAAGGTCATTGTTTTATTCAGCATCATAGTTACATAACAGTTGTCTGTTTCTATTACTAGAAAGAATTTATTAAAATAGTCCTGAAAGACATCTTTTCTTTTTCCAATGATTTCAAAACTAAGCCTTTTAATGCCAATTCCACACAGTCACGGGTTTGATCGGTAGTAGCCAGTTCTAGCAATTGTCAAGGCACAAGCTCAGCTCTGCACACCTGCTGCAGCTTGTATTGGAAAAGAGATATGCCAGTTCCATCTGCACTTACAAATGCAGAATCCCTTCATCATATATTGCAACAGGAGAAATTAACATTTAACACAGACTAAGAAAGGTAAAGGATTTATTTCTGATATGATTTGTAGAGTTAAATTAAAAACCTACTGAATACTTTATGTAGTAGATGAACATAACCTTAGTACTTACTTTCTAACAGTTTATTTAATGGTTGGAAGTGTACAACATGAAGTAGGCCTCACGTTTAATATTGTTCAATTTTGCTTATTGTTAGATGAGATTAAAATACAGTAGCCATCCCTTTAGACTATGGTGCAACACTGATCATGTGCCTTGATAGATAGGAAAAATGATTCATTAAATAAATGATGATGACATAACATGTAGGGAAGACTTTGGATTGTCTATTTTAAATGTCAACATAATAGGCAAATAAGAATAGAACTTCATTTTAAGTGCACTTCCACATGCTTTGTTTATAATATAGCAAAAACTTCCTATATTTTTTCCAGACACTTCACTCCCTACTCTAAAGCTGTTCAGTTGAAAATGCACTTTCCCCAGTAAACTTCTTTTTAAAAAAAGTAACTAAAATTTCTACCCTTTCATATGCTAAGAAATGTTTCCTAATTAAAAACACAGTTTATTACAAGACATGTGAAGACAACATATAGTGAAATGAATTTTAATTGTTGTGCTGTGACTAAAGTAAAGTTCTCAAGGCTGCAATTTAACATTCCAAGTTCTCCCTTCCATCTTTATTGATTCTTAAGATTTTGCACAGAAACTCTTTGGGGGCTAGAACAGCAGTAATTGCATCACACTGTTTTTCAAGACTTCAAGTTTCAAAAGCAAACTCTTCAAAAAGTACAGTTCTTGATTTGATTAGATACAGGGACAAAAATATAGCACATACTTGAAGGTTACATGGTCTACAAATGATGGCAATATTTTCCTTGGGAGAGTACAGTTTGTTTTCTTGTAAATACTCAAAAAGGCTCAACTTCAAGCAGTAATAAACACAAGCAAAAGTGATTTAACCCTTAAAATAAATATTCAGGAAAACCTCTCTGTACATACAAGTGAAAGAATATGTAACACTTTCACGCTAAAAGAAAAAATAAAGATTTTGTTCATATAAGCAGCTGAAATCTGCTGTTCCAGCCCAATGTCCCCAGTAAAGAAGGGAGGCACAAACACAGGTGACTACTGTAGCTCACTATCTTATGGCCTTTTTGGACAGGGACATCATCACCATCATTTTTAAATCCCTTTTGTTATACTTATTACAGCATGCCAAATCCTTTGGCATATGTGATGGCCTTCAGTAATCTTTCTTTAAGCTTTTCTTTGCTTGAGTACTCCGGAAGCAAAAGTACATTAAAGCATGTGTGAGATGTAGGTAACCTGTGGGACAAAAAATACAAGAATTCAGATCTTGGAACATGCAAAAGAAATACACCTCTATTTTACAAGTCCAAAAAGAATGAATTGGAAGAAAATAAGCTCTTCCTATAGATTCAACTTCCAGATTTAACTAGGTTAATCATTTAAAAGCACATAATTAGCTTCAATTTATAAAAAACCAAGCAAAATGTAGAATTTATCGTTTTTTACCTCTCTGTATCTGGGCCATTTTTGGCTATGATCATCTTTAACTTTCCAAGTCCTCCCACAGGGGCTCTGTCTGTGCCTGTTGTAAACTGTAAGAATAGTCTTTTCTGTTCATCTGTAAATGAATGGACTATTTCCCAGAATTCCCTATCAAAGAAGAAATTAAAAAGTAAATAAACTGTAAACTTTCTTTGGTATAAATAAGAATTTCAAAAGTAATTGAGCTTTGATGGTATGAGAATTCTAATCAGTCTTAACATCAAATCTACAAGTTGCATTCATAAACCAAAACTCTCAGAATGTATTTACCAATAAATGAGATTCAGAAATAGAAATCAGAAATATTACTAAACACTGCAGTTTAACTGTCTTCAAACATTAATTTGTCTGTGTCCTGCTATTATTCCTGTTTCCTAAGGAATTATACAGATTCAACAATGCTTATACCATCTCCTCTTCAGTAATGACATTACTTGAGAAAAGTGAAATTACACATAAGACATTTGCATCTCCAGTACTACAAAAATACTAAATCTCACAATATTAAAATCATTATGAAGAAACAAGCAGATGAAGTGCTTTCTATCTTTACAAAATCACAAAAAATTACCTAATAATAAGAGAGTCTCTTGTATAGCCACCATCATATTCTGTAGTTTCTTCTAGTGCTTGAAAATCTAAATTCTGTAAGAAGATGATATTTTTAAAGATGACCATTAGTTATATACTCAATATCAAAAAAAGCTCCACTCTCTAGTGTATATTCAAAATTCTTACCCTACTTCCACAAATAAGTAATTCAATTTCCTCTGGTCTAAATAAATATTTCAAAGGAGATTCATTGGTCACCATGTGGAATCCTCTCCGAAAGGCCTTGAACTGCTTTTCTACTGATTTATTGAGTATATAGTCAGCATACAGATTGACAAATTCCTGCAAGGAAATAAACCCCAAAAAACCTTAGTGCTTCAACACATGCCACTTGAAGTACCTCCTAAAAATACAAGACTATACCAGAATACATATAATTCTGTAATTCTATGCAAATAAACTGAGCTCAGTTTTTATTCAGCAACACAAAAGAGCAAGTTTCAAATACGGCTCAAACAGGTCTAACATCCCACCCAGAGGCTATGTATCCATGTATCAACGCTTTCTTTAACAGAAGCCTTTTCTGTTCACAACCACACTGTGCTATGGCAATTTTAAAAGTCTTTTAAACTTAAAAATTATAAGTGAGACCAAACCTTTGTAGGGTTCTACATAATTCTACAAACAGTATATCAAAGAAATCCAGATTCTGTTTGAAAAGCTGAGTGTACCTTTCTGTTTTCATTTGTAATAGGAATTTTATCACCATTTTCCTTTAAATCATGCATCATTGGATTGCCAAAGAGATCCGTGTGAGATATTTGAAACGTTATCATCATATCATCTTCCACACTTCCTTCATACTCCAGTAAGTCTCTCAAACTCTGATACAGAACCTAACAGAACAAGAAATATATGTCTGTCAAAAATAAGCTTTGATAGATTCCACTGAGTAATACAAGGAGACATGAAACCACCCGCCTCAAAAAAGGGTTGTTATATTCTATGACAAAAGTCACCTAAAAATCTCACATAGCAGTCCAAACAATTATTAAGCTCAGTATCTGTAAAGAGAAACAACAGAAGATATTAAGGTAAAAAAGAAACATGACAATCAGTGACAATTCCCTTAAAAGAGCCTTTTAGTACCTACCAATCTTCCAAAATGCAATGGTCAAACCTGCAGTTTAAGAGCCTTTAATAACATCTTCTTAAGTTTTTTGAATCTGTCTTTACTTTAGGCATCCAGAATATGTTACATGAGTAAGGGGAACATTTACGAGTTAAAAATCAAAGAAACCCCTGTTATTTTATGTCAGATAAAATTCAGACAGCAGGCTTTTATCTTTTACTTCTTATTTAAAACTGAAACCAACTAGGAAGTAATCCTGAAGCAACACAGATGGGGCAGTCTTTAACATAAGAAGACATTTATGAACCAAAAATAAAAAATCACAAGTTTGATCAGCATTTACCAAGTGGAATCTGAAATTACCTGTAAAAGTTCTTACTTGCACTTTTTTTTTGGTAGAAATTTACTTCTACAAATAGCTATAAATAGCCCAATTTTACTAGTTTCTTTGGGAAGAGACATGCTTGTTTATGCTTAATAATTCTTACTAACATTTGGGAGTTTATGTAGCAAAAAAAATAAAGCTTTATTGACATTGAGCCCTATTCATTGATGTTACAATTTTGCTTCCTCCAAATCAAATGTAGCAAGAAGTTTTCTTGCTTATGAATTAATTTTAACAAATACAGGTTCGCAATGCAA